CACCACCAGCACCACCACCACCACCACCACCACCACCACCGTAATTGTGATGAAATATGACCACGACCACTACAACTGCTGCTGCTGCTGCTGCTGCTGCTGCTGCTGCTGCTGCTGCTACTTCTGCTACTGTTGCTGCTACTGCTGCCAACCGCCACCGCTATCGCACATTCTTATCAAATTGAATCATTCAAATTTTTTGTTGCTTGGATTGAACTGCGTGGATATGCTTTTTCGTGGTGCCGGGATCCCTTTAACCGGCACCACAAAAGTAGTTGACCGCTGTATTCCGTTATCTTGACTATTCTTGAAGGCTAAGCGGCTTATTGCTTCTTCTCGCTTGGTTTCGGGTGTGGTGCCGAGACTAGTCCTGTTGCTACTTCGATTCCTACTTGTCGTGCTGCTGCGACTATAACGGCTGTGAATCACGACGACAAAACCCCTAAACCCTAAACCGTGCATGTTCAATCCAACACCCATCTGGGCTTTCGTCGCAAGTCGACGCATCCACTGCGAATGCGAGGGTCTGGGGGCCCCCACTTGAGGCAAGGATGGAATCCGTCTTCTCCGCCAGATCTGTGCATGGCGGAACTGTTTGTCTTCTTCACTTGCACTCTACCCATAGGCCCCATAGTAGTTCCTTTTTGGGGTTACCTTATAGGATTCTATATATGAGCCCCAAAAAGGAACTACTTTAGGGCCTATGGGCAAACGTTGAACCAAGCAGTTGAGCCTGAATCTATCCTGCAGCCACAGCTAGTCAAGTTTAGGGTTTACCCTAACCCCCCAGGTACCTACTATATAGGGTACTAGAGGTCCTGGGGCCCTGCACAGTAGGTATCTGGAGGGTTAGTGTTAGGGTTAAGAGTTTAGGGCTTAGGGGTTTAGGGTTTAGGGTTGAGGGGTTTAGGGTTTAGGGCTTCAACGATGCACAGGAGGCCAGACCCGAGGATGACTCAGCCGCGCCTGACGTCATGTGCCCCGGCGTCACCTGCGCAATGTGAAGAACGCGCAAGCCCAGCCCTCCAAAACCCGAATGTAGGGGCCTGAATGGTTGGAATAGGGTTTTGGGGTATATTATACTATACTTAGAATAAGGAACCCCAAAATAGTCTAGGT